ATTTATTGTTTATTATAATTAACCTTTTAATGTCGGTTCCCAATTGATGGTCTCTAATAAAGAAATCGATACACATTCCAAATAGTGCAACCGTGAACCCATTTTCGTATTGTGTTCTTGTTAGAGGGGAATCTATATTTTCATACAGATCTACAAGTATTCGTGTGGCCAATTGGATCCATTCTTGATCGTGATGTTTATGGGCGTCATATTTTTCGCCATCTTTAAAATATGATGTCATTACGGCTGTACGTAAGTCTTCCAAAGTATTCTTATCATATTTTGCCAGTTCTTCCGCAATATCGAGTGAAATAGACGGAATACCAATTCGGTCTTTCGTCAATTCTTCCCACTCTACATCAGTGAATAGTGCTTTAATCTCCTCATCATCGTAATCCACGATGTAGGAATGAGCATGACTAATAATAGTATGTCAGTTCATGAACGAAAAGGTAAAAAAAATTTAAATTTCAAGAAACCTACTGTTCATAGTCCATGTCTTTCGCAAATTCAAAGAGTACGTCCTCCACTATTTTGCCCGTGCTCAACCTCAACTTAGAAGTGTCTGGGATGGCATCATGAGCCATGCGAAAGGCAACCTTATCGACCGTTGAGGGAGTATCATCCTCTTCGTCCCTATCACTTATATCATTTTCCTCACCCGCATCATCGTAATCAAGTGATGATTCATCTTTAGACGATACAATATTAGTTCCGCAGAATGGACAAAATGCAAAGACAGAAATATTAATCTAAAAAATAAAAAAAGTGAATATTGTTTACCCGTTGCAACGAAGTTTAATGTATTTATCAGGTTACCTCTGCGTCACAATTAAGACAATGAGAAGACTCATCTCGCTTATGATTTTCTGTCCGATGAATAATCTACAAAGAAGGATATACTGTATATTCCTGAATTTATCTTTATGAATAGTGATGACAGAACGATTCATTTTATGTGAATATCATACCTTGCCCTTCTTGCTATCTGTTTTGTTGAAAGTGTCTTGTTCTACTTCCCCGAACAGATTGGATGATTGTCGTTCGATAGGACTTTGAAAGAAGTCATCGATCTCGTCCTACAAAAATGTTAACATTAAAATAATTGGTAGTTACAACATTGGCCATTTCTGCTGATTCTCACGACTTCTAGCTGACAAAATGCATTCGTACCTTTCCCGATCTCTTTTTGATTTGGATGATCCGGCAACGAAATGTGAAGTCGTCGGAGTCTAAAGGTAATAGGTATCAGAGGATTGCGTGACAAAGTGGTGAGGGAATAGAGAGGAGTTGGACGTTGTCAAAACAACCACCTAAACAGCCCATCAACGCGTTAGGCTAGTTATGGAGACTAGTTATGAAACCTACTCCGGTGGGCTCCATCTTAAGTCTGCGTGAAGGCCAGAGTCAACTCGCCTCAGTGCCAAGAACAACTCGTTCATTCGCAGTTCCCAATGAAACAAGGGCGTGCGATTAGGATTAGGGTGTCAAATTTCCTTATAATTTACTTTTACTTTATTTCGTAGCGTCAGACTAAATGGGAAGCTGTTGAGGCATTCTGGAGAGAAGTCGAGCTTGAGGAAATCGAGAAAGACAATCAGCTGTTGGAGAGGAAAATGGACCGAGTTGACGTAATTGTCAGTTTAATTTAAGTACCGAATGCATATGAAATGCACTAACAATCGCTTATGATTTTCTGTCCGATGAATAATCTACAAAGAAGGATATACTGTATATTCCTGAATTTATCTTTATGAAT